TTTTTTTGGAGGGGAGTAACCCTGCTTATACTGAAGAGCAGAAAAACATAACAAAATTCAGGTGACCCCAAATGACATAGCACACAGAGTACACTGGCGAGATAACTACAGAAGATCAAAAGGAGAAACCCGATTTGAAAATATGTCACTGAAGAAATTCACTTATATCAAAAAGGAGGTTCACACAGTTGGAGAATACATAGAATATAGCTATGTACATAGAATACAGTAAATACATAGAATACAGCTAAGTACAGTCCGGTTCAAGTCCATAGCTCATATTTAAGCTGGAGGCTTCTCCTGACTAATATGGGGCGGTGGGGTTGACGCCGCGGGGGTGCGGGGCTGGTGAACCCGAAAGCAGGAAGACAAAGCAAGAAGACCACAGGCTGATGGATGTAGTGTCAAATGATCCAAGGTTGGCATTCCACTGATGGGTCCTGAATCAACAGGCAGTATGACGGAAGGTCGAGCCAGATGCAGGATCCAGGCCCATCAAAAGAAGTGATCAAGCTTTCCCACAGTGCCAACAGTATTAAAAGTAAGCTACACCCGCAGTGAAACTTCCTTTCAATTATATCAAGTCTGGGACCAGATTAAGGGGGTAGGATTCCACTTTATCCTTCCCACAACTTTTTGGCTGCTCACAGAAGATCTCATAATGGAGTTGTTTATGTTATATTAGATCATATCATAAGAGATTACTGCCAAACAACTGAGAACCCTGGCCCAGCCAACTTGACACAAAACCTAAGTATCACAGTTCAACCCTTCTCCACTTGGCACATGTACACAGCTCCTTAAATCAGACATAATCTACAAAGACCTAAATAATGTTAAACTTGCACCTAACATAATACAACTATGTACAAACAAAATGCACCACCCCTTTACATCGTACAGTTTAGAAGCAGAGAGCTTTCGATGGGATGGATGGACACAATGATTGCAATAATGGGCTTAGTAGGGGAAGCAGTTGTGAGGGTGGTACAGAACCATGCAGTATTTCGCTCTGTTGTGCATAATGTTGCTATTGGTCAGAACTGAGTCAATGGCAACTGACAACAATAACATCTGCAGAAGAATGACACCGGACCCATACGTCACCCCATGCACAAAATGAACTTAAGATGGATTAGAGACCTAAACATAAACCCCAGAATGATAAGCAACATTAGTGAGAAAGTTGGGGCAAACTTAATGGCCTTAATGCAGTGAATGCACATACTGTTCAATATAAGAGAT